TGCTTCGCTCGTTGCTCTATCTGTTGTGCTGCTGTGCTGCCGTGCTGTCGTGCTGCCATGCTTCCGTGCCCTTCCTCCCGTGTTGACTCCCTGTCGCCGATACAATCTAGCTCGGAATAATATTTGCCCGCCTGCCTGCTCCAATGCTTCCCCACAATACTCCAACCCAACTACAGTGGGACCGGCACTGCGGAAAGCTCTTCTCAAGACCAGCTTCGACGGGCTGCAGGGCAGGTCAGGCATGTTGAGGAAAAAGGGGGTGTGTGTGAGGAGTCTGGGTCTGCGAGGAGAGTGTGTGGGGGGATGGGGGGGGATGTGAGGAGAGGAGTGCGGGGGGGGAGGTGGAGGGATGTGAGAGTGAGGGGGAGGAAGTGTGGGAGAGTGGCATGGGCTTGCCCAAATCCTTGTGTCTCCGTACTCCTCCTCCTTGTCCCATCTCTTCTTCTTCTCCCACCCACCCTCATACGCACTAGAGGCGTCCACATTCACTGTACTTTCCGCTGACCCAACCCCCCACACCTATTCTCCTCCGCAGTTCCCTCATTTCCAATTCTGTCGCCCCCTTTTGTCCCCACTTCCTCCTCCCCCCACCTGCTCTCCTCCTCCTCAACCTTTCACAATCTAAACTGGTTTGCACCCATTCCTCTCTCCTCTCAGGATCGCACTAACCCCACATGGCGACCTGGCAGCAAGCGAGATCCGCATTTTGAACATCCAAAAACGGGCCCCCATGGAAGTGGCCCTCTGGTCTTCCTCCCTTGGCCTCGTCCCCTCCTCCTCCCGCCCACCCCCCCAATCTGCCCCGCCTTCCACCGCTTCCCCTGCTCCGCGCCCAGGGCCTGTCGCAGTCCCCAGCACACAGGTTAGTCGTTCTCTACACTTCCTCCCACCCACCCTCTCGACCCTCCCCACCCTCCCCACCTTCATCGGCTTCCCCTGCGCCGCGCCTAGCGCCTGTCGCAGGCCCCCCCAGCACACAGGTTAGTCACCCTCCCTCGGCCCTCTCCTGCCTTCCCGCTCAGCCCCCACCCTCTCCAGCCTCCCCACCTTCCCCTGCTTTCCCAACGTTGAGCCCAGGCTCACTTCTAAGCTCCAGCTCACATCACAGTTAGGTTTGAAACCTAACTTCAGTTTATACAGGTTAGGACCAACCTGCATAGTTCGTGCTCAGTATGTTCTACCTACTTTGGAGGCATGAGGAAACAAGTAGCGCACCGTTTTTCACCCCAACATGAGGGCCCGTTTGGACAAATCAGCAAAAGCAGGTCACGGCAGGGCGGCATGCTTGACGTTTCCAGAGAACATCTACCTGGTGATTCTGTGAAGTGCCGTTGTCTCCCTGCTTAATTGACTGTTCTAACTTGTGTGAATCAGTGCCGTTGCCTCCCTGCTGTGCCGCGCAGACTCCCAATGCTCTTCCCATCATCTTCCCTGGAGGGCTCACCCAGGTAGGAGGGAAGGGGGGAGGGAGTCCTACTGGTAGGGCAAGTAGAGGGAATTGGTATCGCAAGGGGAGGGAGTCACGCTGGTAGGGTAAGAGGAGGAGTCATAAGGGGGAGCGAGTTTTGAGGCGCCTCAAGTGGGAAGCGGGGAGCGAGTCACACACTGAGTAATACTCGCAGCCTTGTTCGTTACTCTTGTTCACACTGAGTAATTCATTGTAACAAATGAGTGCTGGATCAGAACGCTCGCAGGCTGGTGGCACTCGTTTCTCTCTCCTCCTCGCTGTAGCACACTCTGGGTTTAGAACCTACAATTCACAAACGCTGCTCCTTCCTTCCAAACCTCTGCCAACCTCATTTTGCGTACCTGCCCCTGCCCCTGACCATGCCCCTGCCCCTGCCCCTGCCCCTGCCCCTGCCCCTGCCCCTGCCCCTGCCCCTGCCCCTGCCCCTGCCCCTGCCCCTGCCCCTGCCCCCGCCCCTGCCCCCGCCCCGGCACTCGCCCCTGCTCCCGTGCCCCTGCTCCCCCCTGCCCCCGCACCCCCCCCTGCTCCTGTCCCGCACTCGCCCCTGCTCCCTGTCTCCTCGTGTGTCTTGCTGTCTCCTGCAGGTGCCAACAGGATCATTCCCCAAGACTCGCCTTCGAATCGCAGTGCCCAATAAACAGGTGCTTGCATGGTGGCATGGTGCAGGTAAGCAGATCACAACAAGTACAGTGTCCTTATCACACGTGCCCATATCACCACGTGTCCTTAACAGCACATGTGCGTATCAACAGGTTGCTTAGTCACCAGGGTATCTCTATCAACAGGCGTGCTTATAGGCAATCCGCTCATTTCCGGGTAATCGCATGTAAGGACATGGTGTATTGTAAAAAAGCCAACTAAATACCTACCCTCCCATCCTCCTCCCCATATCTTCGCCCCTGATCTCTCTCCCTTCCCCTCCTCCCGCCAGCAATACAAGGAGTATGTGAACGTGTCAGACGCCCTGGGCGAGGGCAACAGCCGCTTCTCAGGCTACTGCGTGGAGGTGTTCCGCCTGGCCGTTACACGGTTACCCTACAAGCTCGACTACGAGTTTGTGCTGTACGGTGATAAGGACCTCAGCTACACTCAGATGGTGCTGGCTGTCGCCAACAAGGTAAGGATCTCTCTTACCGCTCAAGAGGGAAGGTCCTCACGAGGTCTGGCTCTGGGCTGTGAGTGGGTGCTTCTTACATGGTGACAAGGACCTCAGCTACACACAGATGGTGCTGGCTGTCACCAACAAGGTGCGCCACTTTCTTTCCTCCGCATCAAGGTTCAAAAATACGACTCGTAAATTACGGTAAAAAACGGTTGGACCTTGCAAAATTAGGTTGGTTCAAAAATACGGTCGTAAGTTACGACCGAAATTTTGAAACTGGGTTTGTGTCTAGCGAATTTCGACATTTCCCAACCGTCACCCTGCTTGTGAGAAATTTCGTGCGCCCAAATCCACGCGAGTGTGTTTTTTTCGCGTAGCGTGGGGAGGGAGTAGGAGCAGATCTAGCCTAAAGGTAGGTACTACTAGGTAGGCTTAGCAATGGTAGTGGTGTAGCGGTCCATTATAGGCTTGTTTCTCTGTAGTGTAGTTTGTTGTTGCCTTCCTAGTCATCGTTGTAAGCATTCTTGAAGTTTCTGGAAAAAAAAAATTGCCGCAAAAAAGTCCATTAAAAAAACGACCGTATTTTTGCCAAAACCACTGTAAATTACAACCGTAATTTACGAGCCGTAATTTACATTTACCGTATTTTTGAACCTTGCTCCGCATGCCCTTTGCTGCCCTACGTTTCTCTGTGTTCATTTGTGTTTCCCTGTCCATTCCTGTGCTGGCTTGGCCTGGCATGCACTGCTCTCCTGCCTGGCAGACGTACGATGCAGCAGTGGGGGACATCACAGTGTTGGACTCGTGGAACAAGTCGTTGAGGTGCCTCAGCTCCCTGTGCCATGCTGCCCTGTGCTGCCCTGTATGTCCCTGTGCTGTCCCATGTTTCTCTGTGCTTCACCTGTGCTGGCTGGCAGACGTACGATGCAGCAGTGGGGGACATCACAGTGCTGGACTCGCGGAGCAAATTCGTCTTCTTCACCCACCCCATCCAGGTACCACCTACCCCATCCAGGTACCACCTACCCCATCCAGGTACCACCTACCCCATCCAGGTACCACCTACCCCATCCAGGTACCACCTACCCCATCCAGGTACCACCTACACCATCCAGGTACCACCTACCCCATCCAGGTACCACCTACCCCATCCAGGTACCACCTACCCCATCCAGGTACCACCTACCCCATCCAGGTGCCACCTACCCCATCCAGGTACCACCTACTCCGTCCAGGTACCACCTACCCCATCCAGGTACCACCTACCCCATCCAGGTACCACCTACTCCGTCCAGTCCAGGTACCACCTACCCCATCCTGGTACCACCTACCCCATCCAGGTATGTACCAGGCGGGGCCATTCCAGGTAGCGGCAAATGCCACCAATGTGTATGTGCTACCCCGTGCATGTGCACCTACCCCATCCAGGTGAAAGAAGTGAATTTCTGAGACGTCTCAAAAATTCACTTCTTTCCGTGCGTGCTGCCACCCCGTGCATGTGCACCTACCCCATCCAGTTTCTGACTCATCATCACTCTCTTATTGCTGCTCTCCCCTCCCTTTCCCTCTCCCAGCAATCTGGGCTGGGAGTCATGGGCTACTCACGGCCGTACAGCAACCCCTGGATGGTCTTCTCTCCGTTCACGGCCTCCATGTGGGCGGTCACGGCCGCCATCTGCCTCACCACGGGGCTGCTCGCCATGATGCTGGACCGGCAGCGCACGCCCGACTTCCAGGGCCCGCTGCAGACGCGCTTCATGACGGCCGTGTGGTGAGTGGGTTTGGGTTTCAGGTGTGAGAGAGTAGCTTGAAGCTGCTTGCATTGCCACAGGGCTTCTGGCTGGCTTGGCTGCTCGCCCTGCTGCTGGACAGGTAGGCAGCACGCGCCTGACTTCCAGGACACGCTGCAGAAGCGCCTTGTGATGGCCGTGTGGTGAGTGGGTGTGGGTGGGTGGGCTGGAACCTGGTGGTGCTTCAGGTGTGCCAGGGTAACTTGATGCTGTGTGCAGTGCAGTGCAGTGCATTGCCACAGGGCTCCCCCCCCCCCCCCGCCCCGCCCTGCTGCTGGACAGGCAGCGCACGCACGCCTGGCTCCCAGAGCACGCTGCAGAGTTGCGTCATGACTGACAGCCGTGTGGTGAGCGAGCGGGTGGGCTGGCTGGATCCTGGTGGTGCTTATGTGTCTCACACACCCCAGCACCCCCCCCTCGCACACACACATGCATGCTCACGCGCGCGCGCGTGCGCACACACACGCGCACACACGCACACACATGCACGCACACACACACACACACACACACACACACACACACACACACACACACACACACACACACACACACACACACACACACACAACAGACGCGCACGCACCTTCACCCACCGTGTACCATTGGCTGTCCCTCTCACCCTTCTCCGTGCTTGCAGGTATGGCTGCCACACATTCTTCTCCATTCCTGGTGCGTCCTCTCCCCTCCTCTATCCACCACTCCCCACCTCTCCCCACTACTCCCGTGTCTTCCCACCCCACTCCACCACTCCCCACCCCGTCCCTTCTCTCTCCTCTCATGCTTCCTTGTCCTCCGTCACCTCTGTCCCCACTCGGCATGCTCTCACAAGTTAGTGCCGGTTCACTGGTTTGGCATGAAACCACTGAACCAGTGAACCTGTACTCTTGAGTCACATGTTTGGCATGAAGCCACTGAACCGGTGAACCTGTACTCTTCTTGGGTCGAGTCAGAAGAATCACCTCAACAGCCAACGCTGCTTGACATGAAATGAAACTTCCAATTCAACAAAAAACGCTGCTCGACTTCCTTTCTTGATTGGATTGAAATCATTACTCAGTTACAAGCAACTGGTGTGCTGTGCTGTGCCTCTGTCAACTGTCTGCCATTTCCCCAATCGTCATTCTCGTCGTCGTAAGCAAAGGTATTCTTTAATATAGGCTCGCGTAACGCTACCGTCTTTGTGGTTGGTTGGTGCTGTGTGTGAGTGTGAGTGTGTGCCTCACCTCCCTCCTACAGTGTTCCGCATCAGAACGACGCTCGCAAGGGTGGTCGTATGTATCTGGCTGCTACTGGCCTTCATAATAGCCAACTCCTACGTTGCCAGTCTCACCTCCATCCTCACAGTGCAGAAGTTCCTTCCCCAAATCCTTGTGAGCCCAGCCTCCCTTTCCTTATAATCACCTGCATTGTAGTCAGTTTCCGTTCGCATTAAGAAAATATCCTCGTTTACCAGCAAGCAGTGGCCCTTTCTCGACACATGAGTGACCTCTACGCGCCCCTCATTCTCCCTGCAGAGTATAGAGTTTTTTTTGTTCCCTGCAACGCCTCTCCATCTCCCTGCGTCCTGCACTTGCTCCCTCAGCCCACCCCGCCAGGGCATCTACTCTGCCCGCACTGTCAATTCCCCCTTGGGCTACCAGTGACATTGCTCCTTGGTGCACACATGCATGCATGCATGCTTATGCCTCTCTGTCTCCCTGCCACCTGCCCTTGCCTTGCACCCTCCACCCACCCCACCAGGACATCTATTCCGCCCTCACCAGCAATTCCCCCATCGGCTACCAGCAACACGCACAGTTCCTTGCTCGACTCATACCCCACTCTTACGCCTCTCTTGCGCCCTCCACTCTCCACCCCACCAGGACATCTATTCTGCCCTCACCAGCAATTCCCCCATCGGCTACCAGAAACACAGCTCTGCCTTTCTCTGCCTTTCACCTGTGCGCCCTCCACCCTCCACCCCGCAGGACATCTATTCCGCCCTCACCAGCAATTCACCCATCGGGTACCAGCAGGGCTCCTTCGTGCACACGTACCTGCTGCAGCTCGGTGTTGCCCCTGTGAGTGCCTCGTCCATATCTCTATCTCAGTGTGCGTCCCTGTGAGAATCAAGAGCAGGCTTAGAGCAATGCCCCTATCGTGTACCAGCAGGGCTCCTTCATGCACACGTACCTGCTGCAGCTCGGTGTTGTCCCCCGTGAGTGCCTCTTTCCCGTGAGTGCCTCTTTCCCGTGAGTGCCTCTTTCCTGTGAGTGCCTCTTTCCTGTGAGTGCCTCTTTCCTGTGAGTGCCTCTTTCCTGTGAGTGCCTCTTTCCTGTGAGTGCCTCTTTCCTGTGAGTGCCTCTTTCCTGTGAGTGCCTCTTTCCTGTGAGTGCCTCTTTCCTGTGAGTGCCTCTTTCCTGTGAGTGCCTCTTTCCCGTGAGTGCCTCTTTCCTGTGAGTGCCTCTTTCCTGTGAGTGCCTCTTTCCTGTGAGTGCCTCTTTCCTGTGAGTGCCTCTTTCCTGTGAGTGCCTCTTTCCTGTGAGTGCCTCTTTCCTGTGAGTGCCTCTTTCCTGTGAGTGCCTCTTTCCTGTGAGTGCCTCTTTCCTGTGAGTGCCTCTTTCCTGTGAGTGCCTCTTTCCCGTGAGTGCCTCTTTCCCGTGAGTGCCTCTTTCCTGTGAGTGCCTCTTTCCCGTGAGTGCCTCTTTCCCGTGAGTGCCTCTTTCCTGTGAGTGCCTCTTTCTTGTGAGTGCCTCTTTTCTGTGAGTGCCTCTTTCCCGTGAGTGCCTCTTTCCCGTGAGTGCCTCTTTCCTGTGAGTGCCTCTTTCCTGTGAGTGCCTCTTTCCCGTGAGTGCCTCTTTCCCGTGAGTGCCTCTTTCCTGTGAGTGCCTCTTTCCTGTGAGTGCCTCTTTCCTGTGAGTGCCTCTTTCCTGTGAGTGCCTCTTTTCTGTGAGTGCCTCTTTCCTGTGAGTGCCTCTTAAATGTGAGTGCCTCTTTTCTGTGAGTGCCTCTTAAATGTGAGTGCCTCTTTCCTGTGAGTGCCTCTTTTCTGTGAGTGCCTCTTTCCTGTGAGTGCCTCTTTCCTATGAGTGCCTTGTTCACAATCCTGTTCACTACTGCCATGCCCGTGCTTCCTTTCATGCCGTTTTCAACGTCTTTCACAATGACACTACCGTGACTGGTCCCCATTCTCCCCACCCACCCCCCATCCCCTGTCCCTCGGCACATGCACGGAATTCCATCAGGCCAAGCTGGTATCACTAGCAGGGGAGAGTGAGTATGCATCTTCGCTCACCTCCGGGCGAGTCACAGTGATAGTGGACGAGAACCCCTACCTCAACCTCTTCCCCACTGCCCGTGTCCCTTCCCTTCCCACCCCTCTCTCTCCGTCCCTCCACACACCCCTGGAATTCCATCAGGACAAGCTGGTATCACTAGCTGGGGAGAGCCAGTATGCATCTTCCCTCACCTCGGGGCGAGTCACAGTGATAGTGGACGAGAACCCCTACCTCAACCTCTTCCCCACTGCCTGTGTCCCTTCCCTTCCCACCCCTCTCTCTCCGTCCCTCCACACACCCCTGGAATTCCATCAGGGCAAGCTGGTATCACTAGCTGGGGAGAGCCAGTATGCATCTTCCCTCACCTCGGGGCGAGTCACAGTGATAGTGGACGAGAACCCCTACCTCAACCTCTTCTCCTCTTCCTTGTGTTCACCCTCTCCCCTGGCTGGCAGGACAAGCTGGTGTCGTTGGCGGGGGAGAGCGAGTATGCATCATCGCTGGCGTCTGGAAGGGTGACAGTGATAGTGGACGAGGATCCCTACCTCAACCTCTTCTCCGCTGCCTTCTGTGACGGCGTGCAGGCGCCGCAGCCCTTCTCCATCCTCAACCTCGCCTTTGTGCGTGCAGTGTGGTGCAGTGTGGTGCTTTGTGTTGCAGTTTGGTGCACTGTGGTGCACTGTGCACCGTGGTCCCATGTGGTGCATGTAATGCATGTGCTGCATGTGGTGCATGTGATGCATGTGATGCATGTGGTGCATGTGATGCATGTGGTGCATGTGATGCATGTGGTGCATGTGGTGCATGTGATGCATGTGGTGCATGTGGCGCATGTGATGCATGTGGTGCATGTGGTGCATGTGATGCATGTGGTGCATGTGGTGCATGTGATGCATGTGGTGCATGTGATGCATGTGATGCATGTGATGCATGCGGTGCATGTGATGCATGTGATGCATGTGGACCGTGGTGCATGTGGTGCATATGATGCATGTGGTGCATGTGATGCATGTGATGCATGTGGTGCATGTGATGCATGTGGTGCATGTGATGCATGTGGTGCATGTGGTGCATGTGATGCATGTGGTGCATGTGGTGCATGTAGTGCATGTGGTGCATGTGATGCATGTGGTGCAGGTGGTGCATGTGATGCATGTGATGCATGTGGACCGTGGTGCATGTGGACTGTGGTGCATGTGGTGCATGTGATGGATGTGGTGCATGTGATGCATGTGATGCATGTGGTGTATGTGTTGCATGTGGTGCATGTGATGCATGTGGTGCATGTGATGCATGTGGTGCATGTGGTGCATATGATGCATGTGGTGCATGTGGTGCATGTGGTGCATGTGATGCATGTGGTGCATGTGGTGCATGTGATGCATGTGGTGCATGTGATGCATGTGGTGCATGTGGTGCATGTGATGCATGTGGTGCATGTGGTGCATGTGATGCATGTGGTGCATGTGGTGCATGTGATGCATGTGATGCATGTGGTGCATGTGGTGCCATGTGATGCATGTCGTGCATGTGATGCATGTGATGCATGTGGTGCATGTGATGCATGTGGTGCATGTGATGCATGTGGTGCATGTGATGCATGTGGTGCATGTGGTGCATGTGGTGCATGTGGTGCATGTGATGCATGTGGTGCATGTGATGCATGTGATGTGTGTGGTGCATGTGATGCATGTGGTGCATGTGATGCATGTGATGCATGTGATGCAAGTGATGCACTGTGGCATCACATCCCTATGCCTCGCTAAAGTGAATTGCATGCTTCCCTCCCTTCCTCCCTTCTCTCCGCTCCCTTCCTCCCTTCGCTCCCCTCCCTCCTCTTAGTCCTCTCAAATATCATATCTCCTCCCTCCCTCCCCTCCCTCCCCTTCCCTCCCCTCCCTCCACGCTCTCCTCTCCTCTCACCACCGTCACCCCACAGGCATTCCCCAAGGGGTCGCAGGTGGGGGCGGACATCTCTCAGGCTATCCTCCAGCTGGCGATGAAGGGGGAGCTGGAGCGGCTCAAGGAACAGTACTTGCAGGTGGGTGCAAAGGAAGAGTATGAGGATTGGTTAACTTGGTACTTGCAGGTGCGTGCTATCCCTCTTCAGAAGGGACTAAACTCCCCCCTCCCTCTTCAGAAGGACAGCTTGTGCAGCAACGGCCAGGCCAGCTCGGCAGTGTTGACGGAGGTGAACGCGCTCACGGCTCGTGCCTCTTGTCTCTTCTCTCTTGTCTCTTCTCTCTTGTCTCTTCTCTCGTGTCTCTTCTCTCGTGTCTCTTCTCTCTTGTCTCTTCTCTCTTGTCTCTTCTCTCTTGTCTCTTCTCTCTTGTCTTTTCTCTCTTCCCTCTTCAGAAGGACAATATGTGCGTTGACGATGAGACGGCCTCGGCAGTGTTGACGGAGGTGAATGTGCACAAGTTCACGGCGCTGCTCATCCTCTACCTCGTTGTCTCGCTGCTCTGCTGCGCCGCCTATGTGGGCCTCCTCATCTACCGCGGTTACCGCTACCACCACCGGTACGACCTGGTTACCGTTATCACCACCGGTACGGCCTGGTTACCGTTATCACCACCGGTACGACGTGCTTCGATTGACTCAAAACTCATCCTCTACCTCGTTGTCTCGCTGTTCTGCTGCATCGCCTATGTGGGCCTCCTCATCTATCGCGGTTACCGTTACAACAGGTACGACCTGGTTACCGCTACGTCTGGTAGGCATGTCCAACATATCTGTTTCTTAGCTCTCTCACTCCTTACTTTTTCCTTGCTTCGTTTTGCCCCCCACTACTTCCTCCACCCCCTGGCTTCCTCCCTGCATATTTCCTGATCACTTTGAAACATTTCTGTTTTCCAGCTCTCTCACTCCTTACTTTCCCCTTGCTTCGTTTCACCCCCCACTACTTCCTCCACCCCCTGGCTTCTTCCCTGCCTATTCCCTGATCACTTTGCAACATGCGTGTGTGCTTGTGCGTGTGATTGTGCGTGTGCATATACGTGTGCTTGCGCTTGTGCTTGCGCTTGCGCTTGCGATTGCGCGCGCACTCGCACTCGTGCGTGTGCGTGTGCTGCAAACGGTGCTGGCATGGTGCAACGCTGCAGAGAAGCACATGGTTCCCATCGGTCACCAAGACACGAGGAAGAGGAGGAGGGCGAGGAAGAGGACGAGGAGGCAGCTGATCAGCAGCTGCTGTGGCAGCAGCAGTGTTTTGGCCTGTCGTGCGGCCCGGGTGGAAATACTGGTGCAAGTTACAAAACAGGCAAGGGCGGCAAGAATCGTCCTGATATTCATGACAATGGTGGTTTTGAAGGAGGCAGGGATACTTATGGTAGAGCAAGTGTGGGGAACGAGGAGGGTGGAGGTTCAATTGAGGGCTATGTTGATGCTGGTCCTGGTCCGTCCTCCAATCCCTTCTCACATGTTCCCGCCTCTTCAACCACCTCCGACGGCAGCAGCAGTAGCAGTAGCACCATCACAACCACCACCACCGCCGCCCCCGCCGCCGCCGCTGCTGCTACAGCCGAGACCATTACGAGAAGTGCTGGTTGCCTGCCTCTTTTTGAACCGCTGCCCACCGCATCCCACCGCGCCTCGTCTTCTCGCACTGGTCCATCTCCCGCACCTGGCAGTGGCACTTGTAGCCCTTCAGGCAGAGCAGTCTCTGGTGTTACTGCATCGTGCCTAGGGGGCCCTGTCTGGCCCGATCCATCTATTGCTCTGGGCAGTGCAGCGTGCGTGGGGATGTCAGGCAAGGGCAGCAAGCGGCCGGAGGTGCTAGAGCCGCTGCTGGAGGAAGGGAGTGAGGAGGGGGGGATATGGGAGGAGGTACAGGAGGAGGAACGTGATGGGGATTTGGGTATTAGTGGGAATAAGGATGCGGCTCAACGTGGTGCTGCTGCTATAGTTGAAAAGGATGTGGTGGTGGGTTCTGACTCTGGTGCTGCTGCTTCAGATGCTGCTTCTGCTGCAGCAGCACAGGTGACTGCAGCAGCAGGGGCGGCCCCTGCTGCAGAAATGGTGTCAGAAGGGGCAGTGGCAGCAGGGGTAGTGACAGGAGGAGTAGAAGCAGTAGAAGGACGGACAGTGGCAGCAGGACAAGTAGTGGCTGGAGGGGCAGTGGCAGCAGGAGAAGCACCATCAGGGCTGCCTGTATCCACCTCTATAAGCCATGTTGGAGAAGCAGCAGCAGAAAGAGAAGCCTCCGGGGAAGGAGAAGCAAAAACAGAAGCAGATGCAGATGCAGAAACAGCTGGATCAGCCATTACTACCACCACTGCTGCTGCTGCTGCCTCCGCTGCTGCTGCTGCTGCTTCTGCTGCTGCAGCTGCTGCTGCTGCCAACACTGCCCCTGCTGCTGCAGCAGCTGCAAAGCTCAGCGCAGAAAGTTCCTTCCCTGCCAATGTACCTACAACTGATCATGGGACATCCAGGTTGATTCCAGGTTTACCCCCTGTAAACCTTGGGTCAACCAGTATCCTATCCTCCGTGGGTGCAACTTTCGATGCAGCAGCCAGCTTGCGGCCGAAAATAACCACTACCGCTGCTAACAGCACGAGTAATCGATCTCCTACTGATGTGTTGGCTGTGGCACCGGTAGCAGCTGGTATGCCAAGCATGGGAAGCGTAACCAGCGGGCTTCCTGGCTTGTCGTCTGTACAGAGAACAATGGACGATCTGATGGATAAATTCAACAAGGTGAGGCTTGAAACCAGTGGTGGATGTAATGTGGGTGTGGGAAGCATGACCAGTGGACTCCCTATTTGGTCTGTACAGCGAGCGATAGAGCCTTTGCAGGAGGGTGTGCCCATTGTCCTGCGTGATAAACGCAACAAAGTGAGAAGAAAGGTGGATAAAATCAGCCGTCGTTGACCTCCCCCTCTCCTCTTCCATCTCCTCTTCTCCCCTCCCCTCCCCTTACCTCCCCTTCCCGTCCTTCCCCTCTCAACCTTCCATCAGTCGTGTTTCAATCAACAGCCGTCGTTGACCTCCCCCCCTCCTCTTCCATCAACCCCTTCCCCTCTCCTCTCTTCAGTGCTGACGCTGTAAGCGTGTGCAAAGAGTGATCTACCACCAGTGTGTAATCTGTGCTCGTGGAGTTGATATCTGTTCTTTTTCAAGGGCCTAAAACATCATCTCTCTCCCCAATCACTTCTTCCCCCACCCACCTAGTGTGTTTTCGGAATCGACTTCTGGGGCGCCTAAAACATCTCTCTCTCCCCATCCCTGATTTCCCCACCCACCGAGTGCGTGCACGGGAAGGGCTGGAGGTACCTGGACCCAGCCAACATCCAGAGACAGCAACCCACTCTGTTGCTTCCGTTGTTGAGTCGACTCAAAAGATGTCCAGCCTCCCTCCCCGCTCTGGCTTGACTGCGTGCAGGGCAGGGAGTGGAGCCGTGAGCTTCTTTTTTTGTCAGAATTCTAAATAGAAAAACTCCCCCCCGTGGCTTGACTGCGTGCAGGGAAGGGAGTGGAGTCGCGAGCGCTACCTGGATCCCAAGAACATCCAGAGGCAGCAAGCCTACTCCGCCGCTTCCCTCCTGCTGGACTTCTCCTCCCCGGGCAACTCTGCACGAAAACGCAGCTCTGGCATGTTCGCTTCAGCTGGCTCTGCTTCTGCCTCTGCCTCTGCTTCTGCTGCTGCGTTTCCCGAGCCTGCCTCTTCGGCTAGACACCGGCGCCGTCCCAGCTGGGGATCGATACAAGCCTCACCTGCTTTCCCTTCCAATCGCCCTTCCACTGCTTCTGGATCCTTCTTCCATGCAGCCAGTGCCAGCGGTGCCTCCAGTGCCGGCAGTGCTGCCAGTGCTGGCGATGCAGACCCCTGTCTCGCAACAGCATCTCCTTCCAATCATCCTTATCATTCCTCCTCAGGTCTTTCTCTCGCAGCTGACCCCCCTCCTGCACGCCTTTCCACTGCATCTGACGTCTTCTTCCATGCTCCCCGTGCTGGTGATTCTCCTGCTGATGGAGTAACCAGTGCTAGTGCTTTCCTCAGTGGGACTAACATCCACCACTCGCCAAGTTCAGGCAGCATGTATCCTGCTAGAAGCTTCGGTGGTTCTGATGCTGTAGGCCATGCAGACATGCCCAAAAGAGAAAGGCGGACAAGCAGCATCCTGCCTTCTTCGTCCTCGCTACCTGCCGAACCTTGCCCACCGGAAGCTGAGGCTTGCGCGCTGGACGCAGTAGCACAGCTGGGGGAACCAAAGAGGAGAAGCTTCACCTCTGGTATGGAGGAGCAATCAGACTCTTCGACTCACTCACCCCTGACACTCTCGCTATCCTCTCCTGATGAACAGCCGCAGCAGCAGCAACAGCCACAGCACCTGCTGCTGCGGCAGCAGCTGCCACCGAAGGCATCGTATGGGCGGCTCAACTCTCCTCATGTGAACTCTCAGGCAACGTCAAGCCAGGCCAGCCAGGAGCAGCAGCAGCAGCAGAGGAACCAGGCTGGCAGGCTGCGTAAGACTGCTCGTGTTCATCGCCGGAGTGCATCGTATGACGTCACACAGAAGCCAGAAACGAGGTGCGTCTTTGGCAATGGACAAACCCGAAGCCCTAACCTTGTCTGCTGATTCCAGTTCAACCAGCCACCATATCTTGTTTTGTTATCCGTATTTTTTTCTCTTCAAATCCTGTCTTGTGTTGTGTTGTTTGATTTGCAGCATCAAGGGGGAACTGGGGAAGAACTTGGCTAACCTGGACAAGGTTCTATCACCGGGATCCACATTTGATGCCGATGCAAACGTCCAGCCCGAGTACAAAGGCGTTCAACGAGTCCGCGCCTTCCGTCTCTCAAAATCACCGCAGCGGCAGCCCAATCCCTGAAGTTACCTTAGGAATACGATATTCCTGATGATGGAGCTGATACCTTCAGAATGTGGGAAATAGTACTGTAGGTAAGGTGGCAGTTCCGGGAGGAATGATTACCGTAGTATTGTAGTACTGCTAGGGTCTGTTCCACTGGAGGGGTCAGGTAGGCAGGTGCAGGCGGGACAGGGTGACAAACCACCACTTGCAGTGGTAGTGAGTATGATTCCCGCCCGCCCCACCCAGATCTCTCTACACCGAGCATGTACTTTCTGTTCATTCATAGACACCAAAATGAATAATACGCAGTCGTAGTTCCAATACCAGTACGCACCCTACCCCTAGGGGACCCTAGGAGAAAGAGCTCAGCTCACTAGGTCGATATCCTAGTTAATTATACTGCTTGATCAACGCATAAAGCTTTTCCTTACTCGCTCCGATAAGTTCCGCCACCTTAGTTTTGTTCTTGTACACTTGGAAGGTCGGCATGGCGGAAACATTGCACTGCTCTGCCACTTTCTGCAATGTTAGGAAGCAGGAACCATCAGCAATCTTAAAGTGACGGAAAATATCGATAAAGAGCAGATAAAAGCAGGTCTCGACAGAGCAGAGAAAAGAAGACAATGCGACAGGCGGGGCAAATCACGGCAAACACGAACCTGAGCGACATCGACGTCCACTTTAAGAAAGACGACGTTTGAAAATTCAGTCGAGAATGCCTCAAAACTTGGAGCGATCATCTTGCAAGGCCCGCACCAAACCGCATGAAAATCCACGACGACCTGAAGAATCAGGGAGTACCAAGGTGAGAAACTTGATCCAGTTCAGTACTACGATGCGATGACTACCGAGTGTAACAAACAAAACACGGCGAGGGAATGTTGGACCGATCCCCGGCCTGCGACGGCATAACGAAGTTGCAGAATCAGCCGCGGCAGAGACGCTGAGAGCTAGATCGATGCTGTCAATTCAGCTCACCGCTCTATCCCCAGCATCCTCGAGGCTGCGGTCCCACTCAGCCTCGTTGGTGACAACGATAACTGCCCCGCCCATTGATCGTCGCGAACAGGTACAGAAACTAAAGATAGTGAGAGATGAACGGACTGCTCGGTGGGTACGGAAAATACTGAGAAAATAATGGTGGCCTATCTACACTGGCGAAATATGACAACCTTTATGCAAATCTGGACGGACACTGAACATTCGCCCTGACGTGGCGAAGTGGTTCCGAAATTCTGAACATCCTTGGAGCTGAAGTGGCGTTGCCCACACGTCACGGTCATGGCAGGCAGGCAGTCCTCCCCTCAGCGTCGGATCGGCGGACTGTGCACCCCGCCAGCTGGAGTGCGCCGGCGAACTTTCGTTTGAGAAGGATCTTCGTTTCCTAGCCACCTGACCTGTGAGTTCCCCCCCGAACCACCCGAACCCCCCCATTCCCGAATCCCGCGTCGACTTCCAAAGCAAAGTATCGGCGGTTCGGGATTTTGAGGCGGGAAGGGAAACATGGCGCGAAGTGATCTGACGTGAAAACGTACACATGCGTGACAATCAATCGCCGTAAATCGCACTGCTTCGTTGGCCAAACAACCTCGTTACCCTGCAATAGCATTTTCGTTTGCAGTTACTATCATACGCTGAACATGTACACATCATGCTGTAAGCTTTTCACCACATCACCATCACTCGTTCAAGGCACGTGAATATGCTCCAAACATTTGCACACGTTTCTTGCAAAACAGTTTTTCCAGAACCAAAAACATGTGCATAAGAACTTTCCATGACATGCACAAGGTGGTTTCCTTCGGTAGTTTATGTGGGAATACAAAAATTTGCTCAATCTCGCGTCCGTATTTTTGAGACTAAGAGTTTATGCGTGTCAACCCGAAGCGCGTGTGTTTGGCGTGTCAATCACTGTAGCGTCAGTGTCAACTCGAAGCACATGTAGGAGATTCAACCAGGGCCCACGTTATCAGTGTAAATCACCCTGATGCCCTGATTAGAAGGGTGATTTTTGGTAGTAACACTGATGCTGTTGGGTAATGTTTTCGGGACCTTGATTTACCCTGATGTGCCAGGTTTTAAGAGTAAGGAACACTGTCGCCTCAGGGTTGTCGTTCCGCTTATCGAGGTTTACCCTGAAGCGCGTACAAGCGAACCCCCACCCCTCCCCCCCCCCCCCCCCCCCCCATCCCCTAACCACCCTACCCCGGAACCAGGATTTTCCCTTTGCCAACTGTCGAAAATGTAGATTTCGGCAGGACTTTACGTGTGCTGGAACGAGGTGGGCCACCATTGGCCAGAAATACAGTTTCATTCGAGGCAAGGAGAAAGTGCCGGAGCCAGAGGAGGACAGTGACCACGAGCAACAACCTTGTGGTGATGATTAAGCTTATTATTGTATGCTGTGTTAAGAACAACTGAAACAGGGTTTTGCGAATTGGTACACTGATGCCTCAGGGTAGTCGTTTTAATACATGCAAAAACCCTGACGCATCAGGTTTTCCACAACGGGTAACCCTGAAAATCAGGTTTTTGAACAGGTGCTAGCAGGGCTTAGGTTTGGATTTTGCCTACTCACGATTAGCAGTGTAGACATTTTCAAAACCCTTCGGAGCAGTGTGCCCTTTTTGGAAACACTGATGGATCAGTGTAACTTGAAGTTTTGAAAACTTTACCCAGAGGCATCAGTGTAGGTATATTTTTTACCCTGATTGTACTTTAGGCTGCTCAATATGTGCTGGCTGCAATCAAGCTCGAGGCCCAAATCGCGCACGATTACTATCGTAAGTTGGGCGCTGGTGGGTGGGAGTTGTGATGTCTGGTTTCGCTGCAACACTTGTATTTTTCGCCAAGTCAGCAAATTTCGAGTGTGTTCGGAAACCTCGAGTCCCAAATTTCCGAGTCAAGAAAGTTGACGTTCTTGCAGAGAGTGCAGCTTCGACCAATCAGGTTGCATCGCCTCTACAGTAACGGGTAGGTTGCAAGCAGACACGGAGTGACACGGTGTCGGTTGTCAGTACTCACGTGTGCTGGCGTCGTAGTGCATCATTACGAAATTGGGTGTATCGCTACGAAAGTTCTAGGAAACTTCTTCTCAATAAGTAGAGTTTCCGAGGGGGGGGGGGGGGGGGGGGAGTCCCTGTACGCTCTTCAGGGTAATCTTCGCTAAGGGAAAAATTACCCCAGAGCATCAGTGTGGCCTAAATCATTACACTTACAGATCAGTGTAACACTAACTCACCAAAAAATTACCCCAGCACATCAGTGTAGACCCAAAAATTCACCCTTGTAATCAGTATAGAAGGGTAAATTACACTGCAAACCTGAGCCCTGGGTGCTAGACTGATCGTAAGGGTTGGTAAAAACCAAAAATGAGCCCTGGATTCAACGACACAAGCTAATTCGTTGCAAACTAATCATGTATTATATTGGAATAAGAGAGTTTTGATAGGATAAATCTGCTAGAGTAAGACAGCCCTTGCCACTACTTGCTCTATCAAATTGCATTTGTATGTCTCTAGGCTGTGGTGGGGCATACTCTAAGGGGTACAACACTTTAGGTCAACCCTAGTACTTGTATTCACGCTTGCTCACTAGTCAACCATTCTTGCCCGTTATTGCTGACATGGTATTCAGAGCAGGTCCCTCCGTAGGACCGCTCCGTTAGGGCCCACCATTGTTTTTTCGCACTGGCCGAACTGCCCTGCCTGGTCGTAACCTGCCCTGCCCGAACAGCGTCACTCACGCTGCCCTGCCCTGTGCTCTGCCCGCTTGCTGCCCTGCCCTGCTGCCCGCGCGCCGCCCTGCCCTGCAGCCCACGCTTGCTCTGCGTTACTTTCTGGCTCAAAAGTTGCAGCAGCGTGGTCAGCTGAGCCTTGCTTACGTGGCCTCTCGGGCCAACAGTGCTGATGTCTTCACCAAGGCCCTTGAGTTTGGTGATCATTAGCGTTTCTGCACTGCTCTAGGTCTTGTGCCCACTCTACCTCACCTGTTGGTTGCTTGACTTGTCTTGTACTGTGATCTATATATATATTTACATGCATGCTTGCTCTTGCTAGGTTGCGATCACTGTACTGCTTGTGATTTTGAAACTCTGCATGTGAACTGGCCTTATGGCCGCTTGTTTGTGCTCAGACTGCATGGTGATCTTGGGATCCACCCTGAGCTTTGATTTCTTTTGTTCTCTTGCTTCACTGGTCTTGTGACTGTTCATTGTGTTTGCTATTCCCGACTTTGCCTGTGGGGGTGTGTAAAATTGCATTTGTATGTCTCTAGGCTGAAGTGGGGCAAACTCTAAAGGGTACACACTTTAGGTCAACCCTAGTACTTGTACGCATGCTTGCTCACTAGTCAACCATTCTTGCCCGTTATTTCTTACACCCTCTTTGGAATAAGTACAATAACACCAAACTTTTTGGAAAATTGTATGAGTTTTCGAGTGGACCCAACTAAAAGGCGGGGGGGGGGGGGGTGGGTGGGTAACTACTTTAGCTCCTGGATTTCAGGATAATATCACTAGAACAAGAATGGCAGACAGCGCCTGGGTTGTCTGCCAAATTGTCAATACAGTACAGCTTGGTATGACACAAAGCATTTCCCCTCTGATACCCCACACAAAGGACCCTTCCATGGCTTCCTCCAGACCACCATAACCTC